TTCCCATAGATATGTGAGTTACATTCCAGCCGCAGACAGTTCATTCTAACACGGCCTTTTTGTGTGTCCTTCACAATTGTTCCTCATCCAGAACCTTGAACAGTGACACTGACATGATGGAATCACTGAGTCGTAGGGTCCTGTGTTTTTCTCATGAGGGTCAAACCCAACCTGAGTCAATTTTCTTTGTTTATTCCCCTAAAAAATCATCACAAGTAAACCATGTGAGTTTCCCAGTTACAGTTTGTCGTTTTTGGCCTTTTTCTTGGTTTGTGTTAATGCCATTGCTTTTGTCACTTCGACTTTGTACAGGAATCCCTAAAACAACATTCCAAATTCATCACATTTTTTTCTTGATTGTCATCTTTAATATGAATGGATGCTTGTATTATTGTTTAACCTGAAGGTGTGAACTTTACAGTAAAACATTGATTGTCTTTTCCCTGGGGGCCCTTTACAGATCCGCATATGGCTCAACACTGACATGCCCGTGCAGGTTGACGGGGAACCTTGGATGCAACTAGCTGGTCAGGTTGTGGTGTGCCGATCTGCATTACAGGTATTAAGCATCCCCACTCCTTCCACCATGCTCATCTCCACCCACCCTGAAACAAGTTTCAGATAGATGCCCCTCTTCCATACCAAATGCCAATGGCAAAGTAAGAGTATAAAATGTCAGGATACCGAATTGGATAGATCAAACTGAGAAAGAGCTGAAGTCAGCAAATTACAAGAATCAGGAACAAGGTCAAACAGGGTCATTATCTTTTATAGAGAAGACATCCAGGAATTTTAAATCAAAAGTTGGAAGAGTAAGGGTGACTTATCAAATTGGTTTTGTGCTGATTACGTGATTACTGAAAGTACAGTGCTGTTAATCAGGTCATTGAGGAACTAGTCTAAGATGAAGTCCACACAGGGAGAACAAATCAGATGAAAATCTTCTTTCATTTGTTTTTGGCATGACAGGCCACCATGTTGAAGAAATCCAAGTTGAAGATCAAGCGCCGAAATACCGAGCCTGCCCTGAACAGCAATGACGGACAGACCAGCCCCCGACGAGAGCAGGCCAAACTTGTTGCCATGAAGAGTGATGAAGGGGGTCAGGTTTGAGATTCCTTAAACCCCTGCCAATAACCTCATTAGAGGCGACTTTTTGGCCGCCCAGATTTTTCCTTAAAAGAGGAAAAGGTTGACACCCTTCTTCCTCCACCCTCCTCCCAAAAAAAGGAATTGAACAGACTGGCCAGAACCCTGGATTATCGTGCGATTTTGGGAGTCAGACTTTGATTCCATTTGAAAAGACAGTGAAAGGAATTGAATGTTAGCTTCACCCAGTTACACTGGATGATGGTTGCTGTGGAGATGCCGTGGTAGCCAAGGATACTGCCAGTTTTTTCGTGCAATGAGTAGTAAGGATTGATACAGCATCAGCAAAAAAGATATAGAATTTACTTATAAATTCATGTGGAAAGTACAATAAATTATCTAAATTTATAGGTATAGCCAAAACTTATTTTACAGACTTTGTGAGCATGATGATAATTAGGTTTACTTGAAAAAAAAAATCTCTTGGCAAATGTTCCACAGTAACAGCATTAGTAATTCGTGCATGTCACATATTAATATTGACAAAGTACTATTTACTGATTTTCGGCACCAGATCTATTGCTTTCCATTTTTGGAAGCATACTGTTGTTGCACCGTAAGACGTTTTAGAAACCAAAAATGAGTTCCCTCAGTTTTGAAAAAAGAAAACTAATTGTGGTAATTGTTCTGTGAACTTTTGTATGGTTTTGGGAATTATGAATGGAGTGGTTACTTACAATCTGATATTCAGTGGAAGCTTGTTATCTTTTTGGATAGCAGTGACAGTCAACTTTGATCTTTTAAATTTGACATTTGCAAAAACAAATCAAGTGTCAGAAAACTTGTTATGCAAACAAACACTCACACCCAACTATTCCTTTTGCACCATTTATAAACTTAACTTTTTTTAAAGAGAAGTGTAGAGGTAGTTAATACGACGTTACTAACTGGACAAGAAATTTTGATTTTAATGGACTACTTTTCCTTCCTGTAGATACTCTAAATTAAATGATAGTTTATCGTTGAGAAGCTGGTCTTACTCATTGTTTACAGAGAAGTTAAGTAGCTGTAGTTTTGTTCTATTAAATTCTCTATGACGCTTGGTTAATGTCATTATTATTTCTCCATCAGGGAAAAAACTTTAATATTATATTGTATAGTTGTAATTTTGATTCTCACTCGAATTAATTCCTTGACATACTGCAAAACTAAATCAGTTAGGAAGTCTTGATGGTTTCATAGGAAGGACTGGTTCATCATATTTCAGTTGTCTGTAGACTGCCCTGATAACATCTTACTCTGAATAAGAGACTTTGGTTTTTTTGTGGCTTTGGCTTAGGCTCCGGTTTAGGCTCTGGCCTTAGATTTTACTGTAACTTTGAGTTTTGATGTACTGTTGTGGCCCTGACATTGGATTAAGCTCAGCCTCTGACTGCAGCTTACTGGTATGACTGTGGCTAGGGCTTCTGCTCTGTCTACTCTAGCAGCTTCATCCTTGAATCTGCAGCCTTAAATGGTATGAATCTGCTGGCTATGTCTACCACGGTTGCTTCTGATCTAATCATTTCTTTATGACATCAGTGATCCACCTTTGTTTGTTTGTACAAGTCACTGAGATTGTTAACGACTTCTCTTTCTGTGTAGCCCAATCAAAATATGGTGCCTAGAAGAGGCATGCTTATTGTCCAGTTGGGGGGAGGGGCTTTCAGACCAGTGACGTATATGTACCATCAAACAAGTCATGACAAATCCTAGCCAGCCCAGATCTTCAAAATCCACTAGGAGCTTTTAGACACACTCTTCAGAATCAGGGAAGTCAGAGCCTGTCACTTCTTGGGCATGATGTCTTGTGAAAGTAGACAAAGTAATGCATTGTAGTGGTTCCTACATAGTGGTTGCTGTTGGACGATTCAGGGATTGGCAAAAACGCTTCAGGAAATTAGTTAAAAGACAGTCTGCCTTGTAGTAATGGTAATGAGTCTTTATAAAGAGCGCAAATCTAAGACACAAGGTCTAGACTCTGAATATTATTATCCCTGGCTGTCAGGCTGGTAAACATTCCTAAAACCATCTCAGCTCCCTAAAAGTATACAGCTATACAGCTCAATGCTGCAATGTTACGTGCAAACAGCTAACAAAAGTCATACCTAAGGTATCTGAACTATTTAGCTTAAAGGTGACATCCCTAATTTGGAATTATTCCTAACAAATGCACCCAGTAATATCCAGCACCGTGACTTGAGAGCAGTGACTTCCTTTAGTAATGTCAGCATGTTATCAGCATCAGTCGCAGCCCACTGCTGTATAATGCCTGCTGCTATATAATGTACACACATGTAGTTTGTGTGTGCAACATTATTATCGGTAAGCATTTTTGCTTAGCTCAGGTCTAAACCAGGCATTGCTCAACTGTAAAGTTAATCAGTATTCCCGTTACCAATTTATTCTTGAAGGTTACAAGTTTTAGATTTGTAACTTGCAGTGTCTGCAAGACATTTACTTTTATTATCGTGGGTTTGTTCTTGTGTTGTTGTTATTGGTCAATTTTATGCTTGTATTTGATTTTCAAATTGTACCAGTTTTATTTTCTTGCTTTCAAGGATGCTGTTGTTTGTTTGCTTTGATTGTCTGGGAATTTTTGGGGGGAGGGGTCATGTTTTTGTAAGGATAGTGGTCTTGACCTTGGAGTTTAATTTTGTCGGTGGGTGTCATTGTGGCTGATGAGTATGACATTCTGTGATATGTGATGCACTCAATGTCACTTGTCATGAATGACACCTTTCGTGCCACCTTCAATTCCATCAGCTGTCACTGGTTCGGCATGCGACAGTGCTGCCATCATTAAAGTCACTATAGCGTCTTGCTTTTAGCTGTTGTATCATCAGTTGCCATTATGTGATGTCACTGCTGTCACTGAAGGCTGGTATGTGTCACCCTCTGATGTGACTGATGTTTTGTCTAAAGTCACTGATGTCATTGATGGAACCTGTGTTGCCCTGATGTCACTTAATGACCGGTGTTACTACAACAAGGTGACCCAAGCGTACGCAAGCAGTTTACTTTGTGCAATAAGAGTCACAGATGGTTACGGAAATACCTAGGTTCTGATGATTTTTCTTATTTCATAATTAATTTGTATTCATAGTTTTATGTTATTTCAGATGGACTTTTACGAATTCCAAGACGTGAAACTTTTTGTGTCCTGGATACATGTTTTTTCCAATGTAAGCTGCAACATTATTCCATACTTATGGGTAATATGTTCATGTTAACATCACTCAAACTTAACTGTTTACAGCTTTGCCCTGGCAAGGCCAAAAAAAAACTGTGAAATTGCCTGCTGCGTCGCAGTCATTTGAATAAATTTACCAAATTTGTATCAGCCAGAAGTTTGTTAGCAATACACTTACTTTTCTGCTGTTCTGTATGGTTAGAAGTCTGCCTGCTTCCAGTGACTGCAAATAATGTGATGTCTATTTTATGAAATGCATATATGTACTTGTATTTCCGTTACCTTGATCACTAATAACTTGTTCAGCTACCTTAAATGAAAATCAAAAACTCGGTTGATGCAGATTTTTTTTAATAGCAAAGTGCATTTTCAGTTGTAAACATAGAATGACCAAAGTAGCCTTTTACAACCAACCAGTGAATCTATCCCGAATTTCAACATTTCTTTTCCTTTTGAGAGTCAGAAATCACATGGAAATATTACTAAGGAATAGTTTGAAAATCAGTCATAATGGCCGTAGTGATATAATATTTGGGCAGAGTAGTGTTAATTAAAACCAGCTGCAACCCATGTGATTTAAGGACCATATCTGATCCACATCATTCTTTTGAGCCCTGTGGTAGCAATGATCATAGAAACAGACCTCTCTTGATTCATGTGCTTTTGTGTTGTGGATCAAAGAAACTTATTCAGTCACGTTATAAAAGTAATAATGGTGTAGTTACTTGTGTGATAAATGCTTGGTTTTTTTGCCGTATTCTGTATATTTCAGACTCTTGTTGGCTTTTCTCTTTCTTTAACTTAATACTATGAGGAGGCGTAAACATCCGTTTTAGTTGTAAAGTACTACAAAAGCAGCTCGAATGAATTATGATATGAAGAAAAAACTATTTGCAAGTGTAAATAATAATTATAATAAAAATAGATATTGCAAACCAGATAAACTTTATCCTAGACTCTATGTTTTTTCTCGTAAAGGGAAGTACTAGTTATTAGGTGTAAGTATGAAAACTCGAAATAAATTTCTATGGATGCACTGGTCAAATGTTTTTCACGCTTATACTGCTGTAACAAACAAGTGACATGTAACGCACGTAACTGTGTAGATTGTGAATAAGTACTTTTTGATGGCAGTTACCGAATACTCGATTAATTGTGACGTCAACAAGCAAAGCCATGTATTATTTGATACTGGTGTGTGACTATTTACGCCTGACACTGTGCGCCGAAACATGCTGTTGCATCGAGTATTCGATACTGGTATTCGACTTTACGGTGACTGACTTTATCTTCTGGCCGCTTACAGTCGGATATTGTGTAATGATGAGATTATGTATCATATTCTATATAATTTTAAAAATTAGGCTGGTTAGATTGTGGCACCGAAACCTGGGTCCGAGGAATCAATGGAGAACTCTTTGTCCAGTGGGGCGACAAACTTTCACTGCGAAGTGCGTGATACCAGTTTTGCAAGGAGTCCCAGCAATGACGGTGTTTTCATTGTTGTGTACTCGTGTAGACGAACACGACCCTTCGTGGTGCCACGTGTATATATCCTGTGTAAAAGAACAGCGCAGATCAGTCGTTCCATCAAACAATTTATTGCGAGCTAACAAAGTTCACATGAAGTATAAGATTGCCGGCATGCATTTGGAATGCCCAGTTTGGGCAAGTGGAAATCTCAAGTTCTCTTACTCCTTAGATTCTGTTTCAACTCAAGATTAGCGTTATTTTGTTAGTCTTACTTCTAGTCATCGCTCCGTGAATACCTGTTTTGGCAGTTGTCGTTTTAATTTCATGGACCACTGTCTTGACCGTTTCTGCTCTTAAAGACTAGCCCACTAAACAACGCCCGTAGAATTTTACATCTTTCACATTTTGTGCCGCTTTTTGTGAACGGTCCGTGATGCACCGCATCACCCAGACCCAGATCACCCTCTCTCAACATTTTGGCATTTGTAACTCCGTCTACCTGTTTGTCCACTTGTCTTCAAACCAGCTGGTATCTGAATATTTTCGAGTCCGTCCCTCTGACTGTTTGCCATCAAACTTTGGGTTGGTATATTGAGAACACCCTTTTTCCCATTATTTCGGTTCAGTTTTCAGTGCCACAATCTAACCAGATACTCTTTTCAGATTTTGTCAAATGTAAGAAATAAAAGTAGACCGTTTGTATTTATTGACCAAAAACGGTGTTAGACGTGACTAATTATTATTGACTTTTATCTTGTTCTTCATTCGTTCACGAACTTGACGGTAACTAATGATAGAATTAGACTTCTTATATAATTCAGTCTGGATCTTGTTGATTAAAGTAAATACTTTAGTTTTAAAATGGCGTTGTTGTCTGAGTGCAACCTCGTTCCCAGTGAAGTGGGTCGTTTCTGTAAGTGGGATCGATCGTTTCATGGAACGAAGTTGTATATCCACTGCCTATTCATTCCTATTAAAAAGAGAAACTTTCAGAAATGAGAAATTTGGAATTTTGACGGAAAATGACAAGATTTTGACACCGATATTACGTCATAACGAGAATAAAGACCCTACACAGGTGCGTGTGCATTGCTTAAATGTACAACAGACTATTGTATTATAATAACGGTATTACGTAACTTGGTACTGTGACCTTTGACCTAATATCAGGGTTAGTGGTTCATTTGAATGCACTTTCGAATAAATAAATTCTATGGTTTTAACTTGAACCCGTTTGAAAGTGTCTTGTATTCGTGAGTGATGGTTTTTGTGCATCGTTTCGTGTTCTTGTTTTTTTTTTCACAAGCCTTCGGGGGCGAACACTGAGTATAACAGTGTTGTAAAAACACGTCGGGCTGGGCAAAAAAATTCGAAATTAACATCTCTACGGCGCAAATCCTTCCTGGGAAATGGTGTTGTGCGTGTATTCCAACTCCATTCTATCCGCCTTGAGGAGAAGCACCCCCTCATCGATTGAAAAGAGCCATATTGGTCGGGAGTGTTCGTTTTGCTGCTAGCGACACGACCGTAATGCAGGCATGTCATAGTCGTTTGTGAACCAGCGAAAGGAGCCTGCGTTGTAAGGAAAATTGCACACTCTCTTGGTCCAGCTCCAGGCTCATTGCTACCTTTAGAAAAACTTTATACCTAATTTGCTTTATTAGTGTCCAGTGCTTTTTAATGAGCCTTCGAGATGCTCACGATTCAGCCAAGTGCAGTTTGAAACAATTCTAAGCCTGCAAGACGTCGAGATTTGTTCGTTGCGCTGAAGCTTAAAATTACAGGGCACTTAAGCTTCAGCACAACGAACAAAATATCTCGACGTCTTATTGGTTTATCTACCACCATGGTGAAATCAGATGGGGGCGGTAATATGAAGTTTCTGTCTTTCTTTTGAGGGGCCATTCAAGTTTGTTATGATAAGTTAAGCATAGCAGAAACCGTTTTCTAACATTTTATGTACTTCATCACAGAATTTGGTGTTCTGAAGAAAATAATGTTTGGCACTAAAAATGACAAATTTTTAATGTTGTTTGAACAGCTCAAAACCTATGAGTGGTTTAGAAATTCAGCGTATTCACATATTCTTGACAAAACAGTAACCCTTGGTGCTGCTCGGCCGCTCACATCACAGAATGTGTGACTAAAATCAGTAGGGGGGAAGGCAGATGTTTGTCAAGTTAATTTTTAACCAACCGTGCGTGGTCCAGTGCTAACTATACTCTGCTAAGCAGGCAAAGTCAGTGTCAATACATTATTGATTCAACCGTGGCCAAATGTTTACATTACGCCCACGTAAAATTATTAACAAGAACGTTTTTTTTTGGCCGGCTGACACGAAGTGTAATATTTGCACAACTTTGCACGTACGAGGGTTTCACCACGTTTGATACGAAGAAACGGATGAAGCAAGCCGGTGGTGTGGTGTGTCTGAGCGTGGCCGGGGGAATCAAGGTATTGTATTTTCCGATGTTTCTACTCTAAATTCAAAGCGAGTACACAGGATCCCGATTAGTGTTACATTTTGAATTGACTTCACAGAGTTCCGAGATTAGTTCCGAGAGTAATATGACATGGTTTATTTCTTCGCTGAAAGTTGGTCCTCTTAATTTCTTTGGAAACCGTTTTTTACACTCCTGTGACAATTTGATAACTCGACATTTTTGCAGTTTCAATTTACCAGCCCTATTTTTACACCACGTTCTCATCCAATCAGTAATGATACCTAAATGACTTTCCATTCGGTAGTCTGAAGTGCATTTTTCATCTTTTGACAAATCCCATTCTTGATTGTTTAATTAACGAAATTTACGCAAAGTGAGGGATCTCATAAAACAATACCCAGTTATTCATGTTTAATCCGTGATCGTCCTTTCGTCTGTTGTTCATCCACTGCTTTGCATGAACAAATTCATTAAACGTCCACATTTACCTAATATTTTAATTACATTGCTATTCGTTCTGCTGTCGTTCCGTTGAATGCTGTGCCGGCCCTGGTGCCTGCAAAGAGTTTGCAACGCGTTGACCTACCAGAGTGTGCGAAATCTGTCGACCCTTTCCGATTGCGCATCGGGTCGACAGATTTCGCGCACTGTGATTGGTCAATGCCTTGCAAACTCTTGGAGGCGCACGCATACCTGTTTTACATATAAGGTGGACATTCCTTTGTTCTCCTGTGATTAAGGAAACTTGAGGAAAATGCTCCTTTTTCTCCAACTAGGATAACTCCTTCGAGCTGGATTTTCGATGATGATTTCCTGGACTGTTCCACTTCATTTTGCCACAGATAACCTTGACCCCAACTGTGAAACTGTTTTTCAGAGAGGGGAAGACATTGTGTGGACGTGTGCGAGTCCACACAACGCCATCAAACCCTTCGTTATGTGGACTGCTTTTGTGCCGAGGTCCACACTATGTACACCACGCCTGCATACTATTGTGAAACGCCCGTATTGTTTTGTGATGAAGAGAACACACATGAAAAAAACTATTCACTGACAAGGCTTACAAAATCGTGCATAGCTCATAACACTGAATGCTCAGAGCGTTTTCAAAACGAGTGGATTCGGCTGAGACTTTGGTATCGCTGGTGCCATCCATTTAGCGATGCAGTGTTTGAAATCACCTGTTCAAGCTCTGACTGGAACCAGCGAAACCTTTGTGTATTAAAAGCCGAATCCACTCGTTTCGAAAATGCTTTCATTGTGATGAAAACGGAACTGTCAATTATGCCAGATTTAGGTCTTACCATGCCCCTTGACACGTAACCCGTGACCATGTGGAGGACTAAGTGGTTCCAGTTTGCAGTGATGAGCGCCCTCTACATGGCCGTCTGGCTGTCGTGCTCAATCATCGCTCCTTTCTTTCCACCAGAGGTACAAAATTAAATTTGCTTGAGTTACTAGTTTTCTTTTTCCAAGACCCCCCCCCCGTTTTCCTGGTTTAAGATGTTTTGTTTGAGGAGGATAACCTCTTTCAATCCCTTCGACCTGCCAAGACCTCACAATTCAGCAAAAGGAGGGTCTAGACTATTGGTCCATTAATAATGAGCCAATGAAAATGGAAGATTAAAACGGTATCCGAAATGGGCTTCCATAGCTACGGCTAATGTATTTCCAGTGGAGCGAAGACCTAAACCTAGCTCTAGACAACAGATTTGGACGCAGCCTTGCTGTGGAGGAGACTGTTAATTTCTTATGAACTTTTTTCACTGGCTGTCCCTCTTCCAGGCAATCAAGAAAGGAGCCAATCAGACGGCAGCTGGTTTCGTTTTTGGCGCGTTTTCGATGACATCATTCCTAATTGGAACGCCGTTCGGTCGAGTTGTAAGTTGAAAATAATGTGGTCGAGATGAAGCAATTTCCTCAAGAAAAAAAATAGACTTTGTCGAACGACACGCTTGGTTTTAGGTATGATTATTTTATTTAGTATTGAAATGCATGTGATTTTGAAAAATCTTTCATTTTTGTGCTGGTAGATAGATAATAGTTGTTTTTTATTTTAATCATTTGATGTCCAAAGGTCTCGAAGGTAAACGTTAAAGTCATGTTTCTTATCGGCGCAGGACTGTGTAGTTGTACAAACATCATATTTGGGTAAGATAATCGACTTTCATGAAGCAAACAAGAGTCTTGTTTTCGAATGCAACTGTCTAGAACATGTATAAACGGCTTAGCTGTCAAAAAGATCTTTCAGGGGTCGACGGAGCTCACGATGTATTTTCAATTCTTTGAATTTCGTTTTGATTGTGACTCCACTCATTGGATATTTTTTAATCCATGTTCCTTAGCCTTCTCGATAAGATCCAGAATGGTACCCTTTTTGTAACGTCAGCACTATTCATGCGCGCCATGGAGGCAGTGGGCTCGTCTGCTGCCATGATTGCTGCCATGGCAATGGTTGGCGGGAAATACCCCGAGAATGCACCTCAGATGTTAGGTCTGTTGGAGATGTTCTCTGGATTGGCGTTTATGATGGGACCAATGATTGGATTGATACTTTATCAGGTATCTTATGACGCTATCGATTGATTTTTCAGTACTACTATTACTACATTATTCATTAATATTCCAAATATATGCAACCTTTCATAATTTCATACACACGGTTTGAGTTGTTATACTTTACAGCCAAAATCCAATCTTATGTTGTATAAACGTTGCATTTTCATTAACCTGTAGGCAGGTGGTTATGGGCTTCCGTTCTTCTCCCTCGGTGGACTGTGTCTGCTACTTCTTATCCTCAACGTCGTTGTTCTGCCTACCAAAGGTGACAAAAACTGAATCATTAAACGAGCAATTGGGACTAGTTTTGTTGCTATCTGCCAGACTTACAGGATTCGGTTGAATGAAAAACAAGCTGTCCAACACCTGTGTCAGGACAGATCGGGTTCTTTTCTCGAAGTAATTTATGCCCAAACGTGACGCAGTGTTATCATAATCGTGGCGTCAGTGACGTCAAACTCTCTCTTTTAAACCAAAGTTGTAACTAGACAAGAACTGCATTAAGGAGTAGAACAAACACAGGTGTGCACTTTGCATTACCAGAAGGTAGACTTGACCTAAGTTGGAATCTCAGTGACGCCGTCGTTTCTGCTTTGGAAACATATTAAGACCACGTGCCGTTACTTGCTTCGCGCCCTCTTGGTGATTGACCTCTTGGTGATCACTGATTGCTTTGAGTTCAGTTCAGAAATCTCGACTAGACGAATCTGCCAACCGTTTGTACACAGCGAATGGCCTCACCTACCAAAAGTGGTAGCACCAATCACATCGCCGGACTTGTTTTTGCGTCGTTAATACCTACATTATAATGAACGAGTCTACAAGTCTGACTATTTTGATTGGTGGAAATTCCGTTTAATTATGCAAGATCATGTCGCTCATAAGCAATTATAAGATAATAACTACATATCACCAACGGGGTCCGATTGGCTTATCCGTCAAGTCGGACTTTAGTGACGTATAGACTTGAATCAAGTCGGACTTACGTTGCTCTTCCTTAGTCAGCCATCCCCCTTCAGCCGGTACGCACTAACGGTCGTCGCGCTCAGCCCGGCAGCTTGCATAACCCTTATAAGGCGCCCTCATTATAGCCTTTATTGTACAACGTGTGTCGTACGTCACCAGTCAGTAGCTCAGTTCTGGCGGCTAGTTCTCGTATGTTCACGAACAGCTCAATTTTGTAGTTCAAGGGTCGGCCGCTCGAACGCCGGGAACAAACAACCGGTTATTGCTGGTAGTAGGGGCAAGCAATATGCAACATGGCGGCGGACATGTAAGTTAAACGAGAGTTAATGTTTGGATAGGCTTTAAACAGGAACATTCATTTCTGTGTTATGGAAAATAATTATCATAAATTTTGCAAAAATTGTAAAATTTGCAAAACCCCCCATTGTCTGTGGCTTTGGAAGCCATCTCTCTACTTTTTGCAGCTGTTCAAAAATCAAAATCCCACGAGTTTTTTTTCGAGCACGAGAACAAGAAACCCGTGTCAAGAACAGGCCGCCCGTACTCGACCGTCAACAAGTCCGACTTGACGGATAAGCCAATCGCACCCCCGCCGGTGGTAACTATTCACAATTGCATTTGAACCACATGATCTTGCATAATGCATATGGAATTTCCATCAATCACAGGAGTCAGACTTGTAGACTCGTTCATTATAATGCAAGTATGAATGACGTGAAAACAAGTTCGGTACTGTGATTGGCTGCTACCGCTATTGGTAGATGAGCCCATTCGCTGTGTACGAATGGTTGTCAGATTCTTCAAGTCGGGATTTCTGAACTGAACGCATAGTAACAAGTGGACACAAGAAGGCGCAAAGCAAGTAACGGCGCGCGGTCTCGTTCGATGTGTGGCCAAAGCAGAAGGGTGCAGTCCACTAATTCAAGCCCTATTGAAAACAGTGTAAAATCAGCACTGTTCAGGGCCCAATAGCATGCACGCCAACATCCCTGAGATTTCTGAAACACAAATGAAGTTATTGTCTGGTCACTTATCTTTCAATTTCTTTTCAATTTTTTGTGGGTTAACCAATTACATTTTTAATTAATCCCACAAAACAAAATTACCCCAAAAAAGTTATTTTTCCGAAGTCTGATTGCAGCCATTTTTCAAGTGGCAACCCTCAACTTTCTGGGGCACTTGGGACCATTTTTCAACCGTAGTTTTTAGCCATTTTGCTCTCATATGAAAGATCAAAGACCCAGGAAGTTAATCCTGGCAAGGATTTACACAATCTCACCATTTTGGGGGCCAAACAATCTCCTTGTTCAAAAGATAATATTGGGGGCACTTTTAACGCTAATGAGCTGGCCAGAAATTCTCACTTGAATTAGTGGTCTGCACCCAGAAACGAAGACGTCACAGAGATTCCGACTTGAGTCAAGTCTATTGACGTATGACACACGTTGTACAATGAAGGCTATCAAATGAGGGCGCCTTATAAGGGTCATGCGAGTTGCCAAGCCGAGCGCAACAACCATGTAGTGCGTACCGCGCTGCCTGAAGGGGTGGCTGACTTGGGAAGAGCAATGTAAGTCCGACTTGATTCAAGTCTAATTAGGAGGTTCGAAACGCAATGACTTGGGATCTCTTCCGCGAATCACTAGACAGAGGTCCTGGGCATCGCTCCGTTAAAAAGGGACATCCGATCCTGCAATGTGGTGCATTTTAAATGTCCAAAAAGACAGGCGTGACTTTCGTTTCGTAATTGTTTATAACTGATACAATGAAGAATTCACAGAGGATTAGAAGGGTCGTTCGAAACTCCCGACAGGAACCCGCATGTTTACATCAATCTTTCTAACAGATTTCAAGTAATATCTGAGACTTTTTTTAATACTTGGTAGCGTTCGTCAGACCTAAAATTGGAGAAAGCTTTGCGAGCTTGCTTCGCATTCCTGCCATATGGCCCATCGCCCTAGCCTTGCTTGTCAGCACAGCCACCCAAGCCGTCTTCAATGTCGGAATCGCCTACCATACCCAAAAGGTTTGTTCTGATGGCATATTACCACATGGCCCCCGTTATGCCAACTTCAAAAACGAGGATGCATTAATTTTGGTGTTATTTCCGATGCGATTTCGCCGCACGGTTTCAGTCTTTATAGATGCAGCAGCTGTTGTGAAATTAGAACTTAACAATTTGACCAAAATGTTTTATAAGAACATGTATATTAATAAATCACGTTTACTTTACATAAGAAAAAATGCTCTAATAAGACCATCCCTGCTCAGAATGAGGAGCAGTGATATCCAACAACCCGTAGGCTTGTTATTAAAATAACAGAAAATAATAAATACTAGAATATTCTTCCTTTTCATCAAAATGGAACACAGATGTCCCTTGATATTTTTTTTTAAATTCTATACCATTCCAGGCGGGCCTATTATCAGCGGATAATGCAGGTGTCGTTTTCTTCATTCAAGGTGGTTCCTACGCCCTCTCAACTCCGGTGTTCGGTTGGATGCTTAATAAATTGGTAATAATGCGTTTACTGAGATAAAAATTATTATCAAGAAGGTATCATGTAATTAAAAGGTGAGCTACCGAGATATTTGTCAAGTCCGTGAACGGCAGCTTCAAACTGTGATTGGCTCCAGATTTTATTTTGATAGAAATCTGCCGTTACACCCTTCAACATTGACAACAAATTCATACACGGTTTTTCAAATAAGATACACTTATCTTTCCAATCCATTATTTCTAACATCAAATAACCTCCAGTTGAGGTACTACTTGGTAACAACTCGTCTCATGCTCATTTTTGGATGCGCTGTTCTTGCTGTCTCATTTTTAATGATTGGCCCGTCTCCATGGTTACCATTTCTAACAAGGTAGGCTCAGGTACAGTTTTCAGTAGTATAGAAACATACTTTTATATGGTACACCTTGCGTTGAATGACGCAAATATGGGTGAACAATTTCTTTAGTTTTTGCTGGAGATATTTTTGGTTTAGAGATTTTCTATGCCACCGCTCGACCAATTTTACGTATCAGATCAGTGCAGGTGTATATGCTTAATTTAATGTACTTTATTGTACATGTAAGAAACAAATGTGTGGCCTGTAAATTACCTGTGAAGGTGTTTGTTTTCTCCAGTAATCGCTACATTCTAATTGTGTCATGTACCCTGATTGGACTGTCTATGGGCTTGGTTTGTGTACCCAGTATCATGGATATGGTCTTGAGTGCAAAGTAAGTGGTTTTAAGTATTCTGCTTCCGTTGATTTCCTTAATTCATTCTGAGTCAAGTGTTATTTTTAAATATGTCTTTTTTTGAAGAGATAAACATAATCACCGCGGTGGATGACAAATACAGTAAAAAGATAATCGATGACTCGCAACACGACACCGCGAGTCATCGATTATCTTTTTACTGTATTTATGTCTTTTTTTTATTTTAATTTTGTATCCAGAAAAGCATTCACTGAATCAAATTTCCAAACTAAAATAAACGAAAGCAACAGCTACAAACCTGAGATGCAAATAGCATCCACAGCTCAGCTCAGTTTTTGAAGTCTAATTTTAAATTTATAACATCAGACGACCAGGTTGTAATGATTTGCATAGAATGCTATGCATACAATGCTATACTCACACATTGGAATTCTTACAGCAAGATTCCAAAAGTGATCACAAAATGTTGCCCTTCTATTTATCGCAGGTGGTACGGATTGCAGGGTGGTGCAGCAACGTATGGAATGGCATCGGGTGTATTTCTCAGCTGTTTTCACTTAGGGTTAGTATTAACAACAATTTTAAAAAAAGCATGAACTGGCTAGAAATGGAAGCATTTATTTCCCATACTATACACAATTTAAATAATATAAGGTAATGAAAATAAATGAATGAGCACGACCTCATTCAAAACGACACTCTCAGTTTAAATACCCAAAATAGTATTTAAATTACATGTAAATCCGAACTTCAACAGACGAGTGCATTTCTTGTTTCCAAGGGTGCTTGTGCAGTTAGATAATGTTACAAATTAATTTAAGAATCAATGAGTATAATCGGCCATCAAATGATTTTATCTAATCCTTCTGACCGATTAGCTCCTTCTTGGGGTCGACGGTAGGGGGCGTCCTCATCGATCGCTACAAGTTCGATTTGACAGCGAGTGTTTTTGCCATGTGCGTTCTGACAACGGCTGTTTTCGTGGCTGTGACATTTGCATGGGAGTATCAGTGCGGGAAAGGGTGAGAAAAAAAGAACTTAGAAGGGTCCGTCTTTACGCATTTCTGTCGTGTAACAGCTATTGCGAATATCTCTGCAGCCCTAGTTGTAGAATTGTAATATTAAGATTGATAATACAGCATTCTCACATAATTTTTCACAGGGATAAATCTTGGACCATAAATAAATCGTAAGGCTTTGAACACGCAGGTTTTGCCGCTATTTTGCAGGAGAAGAGAACCTTGGAAACACCACCCAGTGAGCAAAGCGCCGATCGAAGAGACTGCAGTGTCCCTTTTGTCACAACCTCGGGACCTAGACGGGCCAGATGAAATCTGTGAATTGGCCTTCTATGAGCTATGAGGAGTGTCACTGATCTGTAGTTTTAAAACGCCAGTCGTCGTAAAAAGTGGAACCATAATGGAAGAGTTTTAACGTTTGCTGTTGCACACAGTCGCACCAGTTTTTGAAGACTGACACGTTAACGGTTTTGGAAAATGCTTGGGGTCAACAGTGCCCACGGCAGATTATTTGATCCCCTTCATTTTTCGTCCTCTTTGCAGGCTGATGTCCACAAGTATCGTCACCAGGTTTAAGTAAAATGTGGCGTATGCAGAGCACTGTGGACAGACTTGCAATGACTGCGATCCTTGCACGTGACGCATGCGTCGTGCGCATGCACAAGTAGGCCTAGATGCTCTTAAAATGCTATCTAATAAGACCGCGCGGAAATGAAATGTCCCAGGCGACCCTAGCTCATGCTTGTACAGGACACAAGGCCGGCGCTAATTATTCTCCTCAAGTTATACGTCATAAGGAATACACCAACTAGATACGAGTTGACTCTTTAAGATCAGATTTGACAAATATATTGAGGAAAAATGTTCATAAATCTCCTGGAGAGATCCCGAGCGCCTGCATGATTTTCTGCATTGTGCCTGCTGCAGGCGTTTGCGCTGTCGGTTTACGTGATGGGGCTTTGTCGAACAACCCGACCGTTTACCAACTTGACTTCCCTATAAACATTATTGGGGGGGGGGACTTTACTAATCGTTAAATTCTGGTTTTGTTAAGTGGGGGGATTTCAATTTATTCTTATGGTTTTGGGAAATGTTTTAGGACTTTTTCATTGGGGGGATGATAGCTTTGCTTAGTAACTTTTTGGGAGGGTGTACTTAATTAATAAAATGTTTCTGGTCTTTTCTTATTATATTTTTAGGGGGGATGCGGTCGCTTTCCTTATTAATTTTTTTTGAGGGGGGGAGTTACAACTTACATTACTTTATAAACTTTGAAGTAAATGAAAGCATGACATCACTCCATCATCACAGTGGACTGCACGTTAAAGATTCCGAATTGTGTGCAACGACGGCTGGCTGGCCAAGTTGACCCAGCGCCAGTTGCCTGACTGCGCGCGCACATGCACGACGTCGACGCATCTAACATTATTATCACCCCACCGGCGTGTAGGGAAGGCAGTATAGCCCAAATGGCAAATTAAGTGACAAACACATGACTAGGAAATCAAATTATTGTTCAAGTTAATTATAATAATTGCAAGCTCTGGTTTCTGGTAAGGTGCGAGTTGTCTCGTACGCGATGGTACTACGAGTAAGTGTTGTTCGAACTAACACGGCCCGAACGCCGTTGGATGGTTTGAACCAAAGGTTTGAACTGTCTGGCCGACCATTTTGGACCAGGCCCAGGGGTACGGTCGCACCGCTGGTCATCAACAGCTGATTTCATTTATCATTACAGCTGAAACATTCCCATGAAAATAACTGTACGAGATTTCACGCTGCGAGAATCGGAGACAACGGTGAAATGCGAGTAACGACGAGATTTCAAAAATTGACCAACTGGGGTCGTTCGAGAGTAACAGAATTTGGCATGCGCGTGTTACAAAGCAATTGACTTTTGGCCGAACTAAAGTGCGTGCCCAAACTTGCCCCTCGGTTTTCTTCCTGGGATGACATCACAATTGCTCATGAATACGGAAACATCATTAGCATAAACCAAAAAAGGTAGTAAAATGCCCTTTGAAATAGGGAAACAAACAACAATTGAAAATAAGGTTAACTGAGACACAAAGGTGCATTTTGAAGGTTTGTATTAAACCAAATTGATTACAGCTACCTTTTATACACGAACTTGGCCCTCTTGCGTACACAAACATGCCACCAATTTGTTTTCATTAATGTAAACGTATACATGTACTGACTGAGACAGGCACAAGGCCGAAAGGGGTCCCTTTCCCTTTCCCAAGGATGTCCAAGTCTTGTAGAGGCTCGGTTAGTTAAGTTTAGGATGTTATGGAAAACAGGTTACAAAGATTTTCTGAGTTGGTGTACAATAAGAATAAGGCCTACTGTTCAAGTACTCGATCCATTGATTTCTACGATACTGTTTTGCTGTGTGTCCACATTATAACAAAGTGTTGTCGAATACTTCACTCAAGGATAGTTCTCTTAAAATGACGGAATGCTAGAGGCCGGTTTTATAGTACATGCATAAAAATACATTGTGGCATGCCGGTCTATTTATGTCTGAACTAAGTCCCCAGGCTCACTATCTACAGGAGTCTTTATTGAAATATTTTGGGCGTCAAGTTCGTCTGTGTGGTTGAATTTGCCCATTATTTCAGGATCAGTGAGCCTTTGGAAATCACAGGTCACCTTCCTGTCGATTTCTTATTCTTTTCGAGGCATTTCACCCTTTTTGTTAGGTTGTGCGCACACCTTAACAGGGTAAAGTATAGTTTCTGTGTTATAGTAGAATATTGATAATGCAAACTCAAAGTTTGCATGAATTATACCGAACACGCACATAAGAAGCAACGCGCCAAAAAGAGGTGGGTCATTTTCTCTCTTCAAATATAGGCCTTGATGTTCACATGAGCTATGTGCCAGCATTAAATATCTGTAAATCTTTAGTACTGTAAACATGCATGTCCGAATGTACCCGACTTCCACTTTCGTTTCAAAAGAGCTTATATATACATAACATGCAGATCATATTGGGGATTCTTGTGTTTTGAATTATTGCAGATGTATCACGAGTCACAATTGTCTACGGTTTAATACTTTTTTATCATTTCGTTATGAATAATTTTAATACTAGGCGTCACATTTTTACATTATCGGTTCATATTTCTGATCACAGTATTTGCTTTGAAAAATGAGCAATGCATTGAAACACCGTGATTTGCCATCCTTTACGATGAGGAGCTAGTACTAACTATGTAAACGACAAACGTAACCAAATGAAAAACCCCCAAGTTTTTTTCGCCCGCCGAATTTTGCACTGAATTAACGCTGTCCCTATCATTGTTTTACGCAATAAAACATGCGCACTGAGGAAACTTTTTTTTAGAAGCACACCGGTAGCTGTTTACTATATGAAGGAGGCATAGGCACACCTAATGGCAAAATCGATATGACGAAGGAATGGGATACATGTAAATGGTGTAATCTCATTAAGAAGCAGCTACAGTTGTGCTCAAAAATATCCATGTATCCCCTTTTGAAAATAACATACCTTTATAAATTCTTCATGTGTAAAAGCTATTATGTTGGTACTTCCACTATATCTTTTGTCTATTTGTTGCAGTACACGAACCCACATGTGTGTTGGCTAAACTTCATTTGCATAACAGATATGGCCCGGGTTTCTTTTTTGCTCCTGTTCAAAATTATTATTATTCTTAATAGTTAATAGCGTAGCGTTTGTTCTTGATAACTGCCTCAAGACGGTTCCTATAAGTGTCCACAAGCTTTCTGTCTCCCGTGGGATGTTGGCCCACTCTTCCTTGGCGAAAGCCTCCAGCTGGGTCAGGTTGGATGGTCTCCTTGCCATCACTCTGGTCTTCAGCTCCCTCCACAGATGCTCTATTGGATTTAAGTCAGGACTTTGAATTAGCTGTCCCAGTACATGGACACCATTATCCTTGAACCACTGCTTTACGATGCGATGCGATGTGCATGGGGTCATTGTCCTGCTGGTACGTCCAGTGAGGTCCAAGCTGGAGTTTCTCAGCAGCCGCTTTCACATTGTCATCCAGGATCTTAATATAATACACTTTTTCCTTGATGCCATGTTTCTTAATGAGATTCCCGGTGCCATTAGCAGAGAAGCAACCCCACAGCATTATGTTGCCACCACCATGCTTTACGGTTGGGACTGTGTTCTTCGGCTTGTATGCTTCTCCTTGCTTCCTCCAGACGTAGGCAATATCCATGTGGCCAAACAACTCCATCTTTTTCTCATCAGACCACAGGGCCGATGACCAAAAGGTAGGATCTCGGTTGAGATGTTTCTTCCCGAGTAGCGGTGTCTTCCTGGGCCTACGTCCGTGGAGACCCCTTTATGCAATACTCGCTTTATGGTTGCCGGTGACACCTTCGTCCCTGCCTTGTCAAGGGTATCATTTAGGGCCTAGGTTGTGATCCATGGGTTGTTGGCCTCCCGGCAAATTTTTTTGGCGAGTCTAGCGGATACTTTGCACTTCCTACCACACCCATTTTTTTTACCGTATTGAACCTCAATATGCATTATGCTTCCTGATGACACTCTGAACTGTTGCATCAGGGACATCATATTGCTTGGAAATTTCCTTGTAGCCATTGCCTTCTTTATAGGCATTCACAATACACTGGAAACAAGTCTATGGTTCAAGGACAATGGAGTCCATGCACTGGTTTTCCAAGTCAAAGTCCTGACCTAAATCCAATAGAGCATCTGTGGAGGGAGCTGAAGACCATAGTGATGGCCAGGAGACCATCAAACCTGACCCAGCTGGAGGCTTTTGCCAAGGAAGAGTTGGCCAACATCCCACGGGAGACATGCAGAAAGCATGTGGACACTTACAGGACCGTCTTGAGGCCTTAATATCAAAAACAAACGCTACGCTATGGACTATAAAGAAAAGACAATGGACTATGTAAACCTGGGGTGTGAATAATTTTGACCAGGGGCAAAAAAATAAACCCAGGCCGTATCTGTTAGTATGCAAATGAAGTTTAGCCAACACACAGTGCAACAAGTCGACAAAAGTTATAGTGGAAGTACCACCAAAATAGCTTTTACAAGTGAAGAATTTAGAAAGGTATGTTATTTTCCAAAGGGTATGGATGATTTTGAGCACAAATGTAGGTAAGAGTTAAAAACAATCAGTGTGTGACTTGAACTTTCATCTGTCTCCCCCAGCGTTGGGAAGAAGTCATACTCAGAGACATTTGCAATGATCTTATGGTATCATAAGAAAGTACGTAAACCTTACTCCAGTGGCATGGTTACATTTCCTCTGTTGCCATAGGAACACATCAAGATGCCCGAAGGACCGGCCGGTGTGTTCCCAGAGGCTAGTGAGTCACGTGACAGGCGGTACACGCGACTACTCTGCATATTCTCCGTGTTCGGGATCGCCGTTTTTGTAGGTGTCATTGTCATAACTATCGTGCTACCATTGTCGAGACAGGCCATACTAACAACCTCGATGGAACCAGGTAATTACTTGGAGACTGTCATCAGGAAAGTTTCCGATTTTATCCACTATTCAAGTTTCAGCGTTAAGTTTTGTGTCTGATTGAGATTTTTTAGACCACAAATATGTTTGGCCTGAATTCCATCTGCAAGGTACGTGCTTGCACAAATTTCATTGGAACGTGCAGAAACGTTTACTTTCTCCAAAATGAAGTCATTTAAGCTGATGTAGTGTACTGTCTATCTTTTTCCTCCCTCCAGATTCGTGTGCTGATTCAGGGGGGTTGCCCTGTAATACAAGTGGCTGTATTCGCATCAATCAGCTGTGTGACGGTGTCACGGACTGTCGAGATAGCAGTGACGAAATCGGGTGCATATGATATCACTGACACTTGGGCTCCGAGGACCTGTTGATATTAGAATCAGCTGACACCACCAGTGATTAACATTCACAACAATATTTCGTCAGCAACATATACCGCCATGGTTATTTTGGGGGTTCGTCTTAGCTATAGTACTTGTAGTTCTAGATTCTTCATAGGCCTACAGCAAATTGCCACTTCAACGCATGGTTAAGAGCTACTTCATTATACTTTATTTCCTCGGCGGTCAGCCAACAAATAATTAATCTCTATACACGATACTATTTTTACGTTGTATTATACAATACCTGCATAAGTCCCATCATTAATTGGTGGATCGTTGATCACATGCCATTGAATTATTCGTTTTATACAACACTTGCATAAATCCTCGTCATCTGATTGGTGGATCGTTGATCACATGTCATTGGATTATTCGTTCTATTCAACGGCACCCGTTGAATAGAACTTTATTCACTTGACTGGTTCCATCCCCACTTCATATATCTCATTAAATAATATAAGGACGGAAACCAGTCTAACATTGCACGTCAAAGTGAATCCCACGGATCTGTTTCGCAAAATGACAGACGTGTTATATGCAAGTGGGACCTATTTGTTCTTCTAACAGCACAGGGTTTATGCAGGTATTGCATTAAAAACAAATAATGAATGTTTCACATTCATGCAATGGTAAGAATAATTTAATGAGGTGAACATTTTTATCACCGTCACCTCATGAAAGTGTTCTTACCATTGCACTCATAAATATTGTTTTACTAATCAGGCGCGGATCTAGGGGGTTGAGTGTCGACCCCCCCTCCCGCAGTGAGACAAAATACCAAACGGTAAAAAATGGAGAACGTAATAAATAACTATAATAATACTAACTAACCTAAAGTTAGAAAATGGATAGCATCCCACTGATTCGTCGTATGTGTACACCTGTACCATTGTATTTCATGACAGTTCCGCTTGTCCGCATAAAAATGAGACATTAAAAAAATCTCTGGCTTAATCCCCCCCCCCAAAAAAATTCTGGATCCACCCCTGTTATTTGTCTAAGAATTATTTCTCATGTATCGATAGATAGAAAACATATGTTTGCACATAATTTGTATGTCTTTGTAACTACTAAGATGTCAAAATAGGCGAGAGGACCTTAGGCCTTTTGGCACATTACAACCCGGAAAAAAATGAAGCATACCTTTCTGGTTTTCCATCGTTCGTGCGGGCACTATTGTCCCACCCCCTTGCCAGTGGCCCTAACTTTATCACCACTTCATCGTTTATTGTTAAATGTAAACAAGTTGTTAGTCAGTAATACTAATAGAGGTCAAAATAATAGGCATTTGTTAAAGATAGCATTCATTATTTATTTAGCAATATTATTCATAGAATTATTATCATAAAGTATAGGTGGAAAAAAAACAGACAGTAAATGACATAATCAAAAACAGTAATTTGTTGCTTTGTGCGTGTTCGGGCTTGTCGTTAGATTATTTTCCTAAGCCTACAACACACTACACGAAGGTCCCGCCCATTTGCAAAAAAACACAGACATATACTTCGTTTTCAAATAATTTTTCTGTGTGTGCCGGTCACAAGAGGGCCTGTCCTAATCTTTGTCAAGTAGGAAAAATTAAACGAGCATCGAAAATGGTAAGCTCTACGTTCAACAAAAAGTGAAATATAATTTTCACAACTTTTCTAGATTAATTTCAGCATGAGACTTAAAGGCCATTAAAGGGACTATGCAATACAATTATTTACCACAACGGTTGAGGTTACACGCGTACGGTTGTATTTCAACTAATCTGGAGCCATTGGGGTTTGTTTGCTTTAATGCAACATATTCATGAGCAAAACTGTGATGTCATTCCTGCAGTTAACCTCCTGTTGCATTGATTTTGTAAGTTCATAAAAATGCTAGATTTTTTCATCTTTACTGTCGTAAATTTCTGTTCCTTTGGCAATTTTTTGTTGTATATATATGGCAATAAACTGGAAAGCAACCTTTTCTCAGAAATGTTTTCAATTGAAGTTCACAATTTGAAAACATGAAAACATTTTATTCTGAACAGTGTCTTCTCGATTTCATATCACAGCAACAGCGCTGCCACTTCTCTCAGTTTGGACAATCTTTAATCAATGCTTTAAAAGCGCAATTTTGATGTACTTAACCCCAAAGGGATTTCAAACAATTTTGAACATTGAACAAGAGAATAAACTCACAAAGATACAAAAAAGTGAGTCTAAGGCCGTGTCCGAAACAGGCTTCCAGAGCTACGGCTAGGTCTGTTGTCTACGCGTATCTGCGTATTTCCAATGGAGTAAAGACCTAGTTCTAGCTCCAGACAACGGATTTGGATGCAGCCTAAGATTGCATGTGGGTGCAGACCACTAATTCAAGTGAGAATTTCTGGCCAGCTCATTAGCATTAAAAGTGCCCCCCCCCCACAGTATCTTAGTAAAAAGGAGATTGTTTGGCCCCCAAAATGGTGAGATTGTGTAAATCGTTGCCAGGATCAACTCCCTGGGTCTTTGAGCTTTCACATGAGAGCAGAAGGGCTAAAAACTACGGTTGAAAAATAGTCCTAAGTGCCCCAGAGAGAGGGTTGCCACTTGGAAAATGGCTGCAATCGGACTTTGGAAAAATC